GTAAGAGGCCTGGCCTGGCTGGCCTACTGGTCACATGACTTGCATCTTTGTTTTCCAGAATCCCTGCTGAATCTCCCTTGAGACAACTTGGAAGGAATCCAGCTGACAGGCTGGACAGGCAGAACCAAGTTCTGTCATTTTTTTAAAAATAGATTTTAAAATTATTTTTATTTATGGGTGTGTGTACGTGTGTGTGTGTGTGTGTGTGTGTGTGTGTGTGTGTGTGTGTGTGTGTACCTATGCATGTGGCACAAAACATATATTCAGGTCAAAGGTCGACTTGAGGGGGGGTCATTTTTCCCTTTCCACCATGTGGATCTTGGGATTTGAATGAACTAAGGTCATCAGGCTCGCCTCACAGTGCCCTTATATGCTAAGCTATCTCACCGGCCCAAGCTTTGCCATTTTTGAGCACAGCGGCATAAGACGTGGGCCACGAGCACCTTCCCTAAGCCTCAGGTTCTCCCCTGTTTCTAGTGGACTGCCATACCCCTCAGGGAGGAGGCCAAATGGCTGTGACGTAAGGGAACCAGGGGCCCACAGCACCAGGCATGGAACTCCTAGTGGCTGCTTGCCGAGGCCACATTCTATGGGTTGTAGCCTTGAAGCTGGGCTCTGGCCCAGAGACACTCAGACAGTCATCCTCAGAAGTGATGCGATCAGGAGTACCCATCACTGAGGCTGCGCTCGGCTGTGCCGAATCTGCTGGGCTCCTCCTCACAGCCTTCCCGAGAGGACCTGAAGCGGGCATCTGTGTAGACTCATGAGGACTGTGACTACAGAAAATGGTGTCCGTTCACATGGCCTTTGAAGGGGAACCCTCCTGTACAGCAGGGGCCTTCCTCCTGGACCCTGGATTAGGCACAAGCCACACCCAAACAGCTGTTTTCATGGAGAGATCCTTTACTAAGCAGGGAAGCAAAGTTAAAGTGGCTGCTTCCTGACTCCGGCAGAAAACAGCAGCAAATGACCTTGCAGGTGTGATTTTTAAGAGGAGAAGAAGGGGAGGTCTGTGTTGGGATGGGCTGGGATGCGGTGGTAGAGGAGAGAGAGGACAAGGCAGAAGGGGAAGAGGACAAGAGAAAGGAGGCAGGGGTATTTGTCCTGGAGGGACAAAGGACTGCCTCTGCATGGAGGGGAGACAGGCGTGGCACACAGGCAAATGAAGGTTTACAAAGGTAAAGGGGAAACCCCATGTTAGGATGAGGTGTTTAATTTTAATTGGACATGTTAATTAGCTGAACCAAAGGGGCCTTCTGACTGCTGGACTTTGACAGTCAGCCTCAAGAGGAGGAAGTGACAAAATAAGGGAATGGACCTTGGTGGCCAGCTTTAGGGATGTCATCTAATTAACAGTTTTTAGCAAGGCAGAGGGAGTGGGGAGAAGGGCAAGGCCTGCCAGAGCCACAGGCTCGAGTGGGCTCGTGTCTCTTCAGCCTTCTCGTGCATTGTGAAGCATCGTCTGTGAGATGTCTCTGCATCATGTTTGGAATATTCCCGGGTCGGTGGGCTTGTTAGCAGAAATCCACGGAGACATTGTTTAGGAAACCACAGTGGTTAGAAACAAGATCCCAGTTGCTGGAGAGATGGCTTACTGGTTGAGACCACTTGTTACTTTTGTAGAAAATTCGATTTTGGTTCTTATATCTACTTGGTGGCTCTCAACCATCTATGACTACAGTTCTAGGGGACTCGATGCTATCTTCTGGTCTTAGTGGGCACTGCACATGTATGGTATACATAAGCCCATGCAAACACACACACACACACACACACACACACACACACACACACACACACACACACACACCAAAGAGGGCTCTGGAGCTCTATGGCATGGGTTCAAATCCTACTTTGCCTCTTCCTGGTCCTTCGATACTGAGTTAATTCCTGTATTTTGTTCCCTAATCTCTGAAGTTGGATGGCAGCCACATCTTTCTGCTAGAGCTTTTGGGCACTGAGTTGATTGACTGCGTTTTAGTGAGGGTCTATTTGTGGCCCAACTCTCTGTGTCTGGCATGTCAGGATGTGTGGAAAGGAAGACAGAGAATGTTTATTTTTAGAGAGTAAGCCCACATGCGTACAATATATTTTGATAATGTTCCCCACCCCTCTCTCTAACTCCTCCCAGATCCATCTCTCAGCCCCCACTTCCTCCCAGTTTTGTCTTTTTATATTTTATAATCTACTGTGTCCAGTTTGTGTTTCCCATATACTCATGGCTGCGAGGCCATCCCCTGCAGGATGGTTGACTTCCCAGGGGCCAAACCCTTAAAGACCAATGACTCTCCCTTCCCAGAAGCCATCAAATTGTCCATTGCTCCTTAGCAAGGGTGGGGAGAGTACCTTCCCCCTCCATGCTGGAAGGTTGACTGGCTCCATCCTGTGCAGGTTGTATGCAGGCAACCACAGCTAGGCAGCAAGCTTTTAATCTCCAGCCTCCTCAGATATTCAGACAGGAAGAAAGAAGGTAGAGAGGATTTACCTTCTACCCCAGGATATCTACAAGGTCAGATGTAAGGTTTGTTTTCTAAATCTACCATTTTGGGAAGCATGGTCTTTGGGTATCGGGCAACAAGAGCCCAGATCTGGTCAACTGGCCTGTGCCCTGCTCACGCCCAGCACCTGTCTGTAAGCTCTGCTGGCCAGCGGTTAAGTGAAGAGCTTCAACCAAGCAGTGAAGAGCTCCAACCAAGGGCTCCGGTCCCCAGGTTGCCAAAGGGGAATGAGCACTGGACCCTGTCCAAAGACTGGCTTTGGTTCTGGACTCTCCTTTGGTCCTAAAGTTCTCTGAGCTTCAGTGTGACCTTTGGTAAAATGGAGATGCCATTGACACACTGCTGGAAATACCAAGTGTGACATTGTATAAACCGGAAATCCCAGGGTGCTCAGGACAGGGGGTCATGGGTTCTCATGGGGTGAACTGTGTAGTGTGCACCTGTCCACCCTGAGATCATTGCCCAGCTTGTTTGCGCGGGTGCCCACACCTTAAGCTCCCTGTGGGAAGACTCTGGAAAGCCCCACATTCTGGAACCTGGCAAGCAGATGAGTAGCCATGGGTATTGCTGGGTGCTCTAGTGGATGGGTGTCCTTTGAATTCCATGTGTTGAAAGTTAATCCCTAAAGTCCTACATGGATGGTAGTTTTGAGATAGTTCCTTTGGGTAGTGACTGGATCAGAAGGGCAGAGCAAGCCCTGATTAATGTTTCATCATGGTAGTTGCTTTGTTGTAAGAGTGAGATATCTAGTTCATTTGTTCTGTCTCACCATGTAGTACAGTGGTTCTCAACCTTCCTAATGCTACAACCCTCTAATCCAGTTCCTCATTTTGTGTGCTGGCCCCCAACCATAAAATTATTTTTTTGGTACTTCATAACTGTAATTTTGCTACTGTTATGAATCATTATGTACATATCTGATATACAGGATATCTGAGATGCGACCCCCGGAGGGGTCACGACCCATAGGTTGAGAACCACTGATGTAGTAGTGTCTTCTGTCTTGTTATGATAGTCCGTGATCTGGCTTTCTCAGCATCTAGGGCTATGAACCAAATTGACCCCTAGTCTTTAAATTTTTTTTATTGGTGTGTATTAATTGCAAAAATAATCATGGCTTTCATTGGGACATTTTTCATACATGCATATAATGTACTTTGGTCGGATTTTCCCTCTCCCCCCTTCCTCTTTTCTAAAATATCTACTTTCATGTCGATCTCCCAACTATTCTCCCAACCATCTCTCAGATTCCATATATGAGAGCAAGTATGTCATCATCTTTCTGAGTTGGGCTTATTTCACTTAGCATGATGCTCTTTAGTTCTATCCATTTTCCGGGGGGAGGGAAAGGCACAATTTTATTATTTTTTCTTGGATATTCCATTGTGTATAGACAGCATATTTTCATTTTCTGTGCCCATTCACCTGTTGGTGGGCATATATATCTAGACTGATTCTATAACTTGGCCATCGTGACTAGCACCATGGCAAACATTGAGAGCATCCCTGTGATATGTTGACTTGAGAATGCTTCTGGTCCTCACTGGTCACCTGGTAGCTCTACTTACAGTTTTTTTTTTTTTTTTAAAGAAAGTTTGGTGCTGATATCCACAGTAGCTGAACAGTTTACACCCCCATCGGCACTGTATGAGGGTCCTCTTCCCCACACCCTTCTCAGGTTCTGCTGCATTTTCTAACCTTTCTTCTTGATAAGGTCCCCAGGCTGTGGGATTCAGGTACAATACTGGGAAAGGGATTAAGGCAGGAGTGAGGCTAAGCCCCTGGTCTTTAGTCGGGAGCCCGAGCTCTTGCTCAGCCTCTTCCGCTCTGTGGCTTGTCCAGGCCACTCTCCTTTGGGTCCTAATCTCATTTGGGATGTGAGAGAATCATACATGGTGGCAAACACAGACCAATCAGGTAACATTTCAAATAATTTTTCAAGGCCCAAGGGCCTCCCAGGAGCTTTAGACTATAGCTGTACCTCTGGGGCAAGCTTGGTGACTGACCTGGGAATCAGTTACTTCTCTTTGCTAAATCTTCTTTTTTTGTTTGTTTTTGTTTTTTTGAGACAGGGTTTCTCTGTGTAGTCTTGCCTGTCCTGTAGAGCAGGCTGGCCTTGAACTCAGAGAGATCTAACTGTCTCTGTCTCCCCATGTGCTGGGATCAAAGGGGGGCACCACCATAGAGGGGGCACCACCACAGCATGGTGAGACTTATTTTCGCAATCTCTGGACTGAGACTGTAGGGATGATCGGCATCTCCAGCATAGGACACATTAGAGTAGACCTGGAAGCTTGGTAGAGGAGACACTGGTGACAGGCCCACCTCACCCTGACTCAATTGGAGGCTCTGGATGGCACCTTTGGTATCATCAACTGGATCTCTAGTGTGGCTAGTGCCCAAGCAGTGCTGGGGGACATTATTATCCCCAGGGATCCGAAAGTACCTTTTTTTCTTTTTTAGATGGGGTCTCATGTAACCCAGGTTGACTGCACATTTGCT